AATAATTTTTACAAAACAAACTGGATCTGTGGAAAAGAGACCCTCACATTTTCTAGCTTGCACTGTTACTTGTGATGCTGCCTGCACACATCTTCATTTCTCAGAAGTTCAGGTTTATTTTTCACCTTCAGAACTACAGAAAAGCGAGACTGGTGATTTTCAGCTTTACTTCTTTAGATCCCAGGGGTCCTCTGAACTTGCCTAAGCAATAGTTTCAACTTCTGATGAATACACAGATCCTTGCAACTTCCCCTGAGTGAGGAAAGGCTCCAAGCTCTGCAGCAAAGCTTCTTCCTTACATAATCTGTGGATGCCCACAGCCTGTGCTGCCTGTTTAGAAAAGATAATGAAGAGACACTGCTTTGAAGGGGAAAGACACAATAAGAACCCGAAGAGGAAGGTGAGTTTTCCTACTGCACACACGGCAGAGGCCCTGATTTTTGTGTGAATGTCTGACACAACTTGGTCTAGACTTCAAACTTCAGGTTGGCACAAAGCAGCACACACGTTTTCCAATCCAGACAGACTAGAACAGTTTTTTGCATCAACATTAAGAACTTTATAACTATTCAAAATCAGCACCAATGGTTGGATTAATATTTTAATAATTACACACTTTTTACATTATGAAAATAAATCATAAATAGTGTAAAAATAATTCTGAAGATCAACTTCTCACAAGCAAGAAACAAAACCTGAAGTACAAAACTGAAAGAAAACAAAACAATAGTCAACTGAAAAACAAGGAGAAATTTTAATAATAAAAACAAAAGCATGCTGTTTGATCAGGTTCAATTAAGTCCAGACCAGTGGCCACAAGAAAGTGGTAAATAATAACAAATTAAAATGGGTGATTAAAACCTTGCAATTCTTTACACTACTCATCAAAAGAGGTCTTGTGACATATTTACAGCGCAAAGACACTCAAAATATTTCTAGTATTGATAATATGATGCTGACCCATTAATTTTTTCCCCCAAACACTGAAATCTTTGCCAAATTACTTTTCTTTGTATTTTTATCTCTTCTACTTCATTTATGAGACCATTTGCAATACAAAAATAACGGCACATATAGATGAACTTAAAAAAGTAAAAAATACAAATAAAAATATATAATATTTTCCAAAGGAAAAAGTCAGATACATACATCTTAGCAACATTTTTAAAGTTGTGTGATATTTTCCCAAACATGTACAATAATATAAGAATATCCACATATATGTTAACAATATGTAAAACATTCTTCCACCAACCCAACTCTCCATAATACTTCAGGGAAGTGTGCAAGTACCAATGGGATCTGGGAAATTAATACAATTTATTTTTAAAATAGAAACAAGTAAAACACTAACGGTCCCAGGTTAAGTTAAGGCCCCCTGCTTTCAAAGAAAATTCAATTTCCAAGCAGCATTGATAATTGGATGCATTTAAAAACAAAATGAAACAAAAACAACACTCCAAATCCCTTTTAAAATACAAACTCCACTTATTCTGTGAAGTATCTTTTTCAGAAATGATGGTGGCAGGCACTTGTTTCTAACTGCATTTAATGAATCCAACCACCACGTAAAATACTTTAATAACAGAGGGTGCAAGAAAAACCTTCATTTGTACATTACAGCAACACTGACATCCATAAAAACAAATGGCAGAAAAGGAAAAAAAAATCATGTTGTAATTAAAAAAAAAAAGTTAGTTTTAATTCCAGTCACTGAAATAGAATTTTTACAATGACTACAAATTAGACTTTCTTTTGACCACTATCTTTGCAGATGTGTTTTGTGTGAGTCTTTAGTGTGAAAATATAGGAATCTCATTAGGTAAAATACAGAGATGTAAAAATGTAATATAAGATGGTCAAGCAGCAGAGATCAGGAAATCTGAAGGGAAGGATCAACCTCTGCATGCCTTGAAGCTTTTCATCACTTTCAATTACTAGGCTGACAATATCTCTGCAGTTCTTACTGAAGTAGCCCTGATTCAGGCAAAACCCCACTGCTGAAGGTGGTAATATACCCCTCATTACAAATCATAACACCTGGCTCCTTCCTCCTGCGTGTCTCAAAGAGCTTTGCAAGGAGAGGACTCATCTCCGTCCCCTGCCCTTGCTGGGGGTGGGCAGGCACAGCCAGAGCTGCAGCCTTGCACGGCTGAGCCGGGTTTGCCATCCGGTCAGTGGGACAACTCCCTCCACACCCCATGGGGATCCAGGATCCCAGCCATGTATCCTGGCACAGCCCCAGCCTTGCAAGCACCACCTTCCCACGAGCACCAAAGGCCTGCTGATCTCTTTTGGGGTTGCTTTGTTACTCTCATGGCATGACCATGTAACCCGGCCACGGGTGCGATGCTCAGTGGGGCCAAAGGTAACTTTCCACACCCTACAGCAACCTTAAGAATTATTCCTTTTCCAACTCTATACTTTACACATGTGCAGATAAATGGATTTGATTGTTCTGAAACTCATTCGTACTACTTACACCATAGACTAAAAGAATATACAAACAGCTGGATGAAGAGTATCATTCTGCTTTGCTACGCTATCAGAATATGACATCACGACCAGCAATAAATAAAAATATAAATCAAAAATACATTGTATCACTGTTCTGTGATTTAACATCTCATGCTTTACCTCAGAAAAAAATAAAAAGTTTTCCAAAGCATCCTGAAAGAAAGCTTTCCCATAGTTAGTCCATGAATATGAAGACAAGGACCATGTATGTCAGACATATTCCATACAGTGCTTAAAAGATTTGTGGCCTCTGTAGCAGGACTTCTGCACAATGTGGTTTTAATGCACTGGAGTAACAGATAATTACAAAACTTCATATGAAACAAATACTGAAAACTCTCAAAGAAACAAGGATTAATCATACCTGAAAAAGTCAGGGATATAGAAACTGTGTAGACTAATACCACTACACATTTCCACAACTGAAAAGACTGGTAGAGGAACTACTGCTCCTGTCACAAGCTAAACAAAACAAAGCATATCTATCTGGAGGAATGCCACTAAAAGATACAACAACACACTGGCAGTTCAAACTGTAGCTTTGCCATCAAAAGAAAAAAGATATACTAGCACCAGAAATAGTTGCTTCTTGAACAAAACAAACACGTTGCAAGTCTTCACAGGGTGCTTTTCTTGATGAACTATAAAACCAATTTTTTTATTTTTTTCTTGTACTGACCATGCAAATTTTCTAGATACCTTTAAGTTTCATTTCAATTCAATCTGAGATGCAAGTATTAATGCCAAATCTATGTATGTAGTTTAACCTTTCAAATTAAATTGTTTATCTACTGCTCACTCATGGTTATTTAAAAGGAATGAACAGTTCATGATACTGAACAACACAAAGGCTAAAAAAGCCAAGTAAGATTATTTGAAAAAAAAAAAAAAAAAGGTATTCCTACCTGCTGGAAATTTAATAAAGAAATTAATCTACAAGACAGAAAAGAACGCAAATGAAGGTGCTTAAGTGTTTCTTCAGTAGGGTCTCAGTGTCAGGGAGTTAAAAGATAATTGAATTTTGACTAACATTTAACAGTAGCATCTATAATTATTTCCTGAATGACAAAACCATGGACCAAAGCTCTGCTAGCTTTATTTGTGCATATGGAAATGGATACTAGGAGGGCAATTAAAAAATATAAGTACACAAATTAAAAAAGAAAAAGAAAGTGCTAATTATTTATCAGCATTATTTATCTTGTTGCTATTTCTTGAGTTGTGTTTGTGGACAGTCTCAGTATGGAGTTGCTAAATCATCAAGCCAGATAATAAACATCCTGCTTGATTTTGCATGTAAATACTCCGAAGGACCTTTAAAAATATTTCATCTTACTGTACTGATTTCCAGTATTCAATATCTTAAGAAACATTCAGCTTCTCATCTCCACATGTACCATACACCCAGCCAAATGTGCCAAGCCAGGACACTGACACGAGTGACTCTGCTCTGTCAGGCAGGCAGCCTGCTCCTCACCCAGCCTGCTGGCTCTTTGAGACAGTGCTGCCTCCACCAGCAGACTGGCAGTGGCAAGTCAGAGGCTTACAGGGTGCTGCTGCTGTCCTCCTTCTGAAAGGCCCCCAGTGGTGTTATTGCTGGAACACTCTGGTAACGTTTTATATTCTGTCTGTGCCTCCTGAACATTCCCACTGTTGTAATCATCACTATTCTAACAGGTTGATACTTGCATCTCTGAAAATTTAGGGAAAGCAAAACATATTTCCTTATATCCGTGAACACTTGTTTATTTCTTACTATTGGAAAGAGGGAATTGAGCAGTAAAAATACATATGTATTCAGTGTATAGTGTGATATTTTTGTTTTTATTAGTAAGATAATACTAATTGGAGGCCACTAAATTGACTTTTTGCTTTAAAAATCTGTGTTTTCCTCAATGAAAAGCTGAGTTTGACTCCAATATACCAAAATGACAATAAAGATTCATCAAAGAGAAATATTCCATTATAGTGGCATTTCCATTGATCTGAGATTGTGAAGCAATACAAAAAGTGTGACCCCATCTTCACATGATTTAGAAATGATGGAGCAGGAAAAAATGTGCGTTCCAAGAAGGGCATAAGGTGCCCTCATATGAATGGAGACAAGCTGTCTTCTTCAACTTTAGTTTTGGTCTACATATGAAAGACAACTCCTTAAAAAAACAACCCTAAAAAAGGGATGATTCTGCTATATACATTAGGAACAGAAGTGATATAAAAAGAATTTCCATCTGCCAAATATGGCACCATTTCTCATAAATTACACTCTCAAACTAACTTCAGTGCACCATATGAAGACTCAAAATGGTAAAAAATACCTCGTGGCAAAACTACAAATGTGCACAAATTACGTATTTCTAGCAATAAAAAAAAAGTGGAGAAGGAAATGTTTCTCTAGAAAGCCATCTGAACAGAAAGGGAGACAAATCAACACATTTAACAGTGGAGTGTGGTGACAAGCGTGCAGTGATAATCACACAGAATTGTTTCTCTCCAATGCTTTTTGAGCAATAATGTCCACTAAAATCACTGTAACAACATAAAAGGAGCAAGATGAATACATCATTCTGTGAAACACAAAAATAAACTCTTTCTTTTCTAGACTTAAAGGCTTCAAAGACTCTGAAATAAAAACTCTTAATACTGAAACAAGATGAATATGTGGCTTGAAAGTATTTTCTTCAATGCCGTCATCACAAATGTTGAATAGATTATTGAAATGCATTCTTTATGGCAACAGAAACAGGAAACGGAAACAAAACCAACCATTGCTTCCAAATTCCCGTAGAGAAGTTCAGCTAGTTATGTGTAATTTAAAGTGAATAACCTGAAAACCACACCATGATACATACATCTCTGGTCAGTTCCATTGTTCCATCCTCCATCCTCTGGAGGATGATCTGATCCATCCCCACCTCAAGAGTGCTTGCTCCTCCAGCAGTCCCAAAATACAATATGCAGAGCGTATACACTCTGTCCGTCCTCGAGTGAGGTTGAGAAGCGTCTGGTCTCAGGCGGTGTCTGCCACCAAATGATCCCTGCAGCACCTCTGTAACCTTTTCAAACAACCCACAGAGAAGTCTGGTTTCTTCTTCAAACTTCTGTCCCTCTTGATTAAGGACTCAACAGGGCCTATCGTGAATGTCTCCACGACCGTGAGCAGTGCAAGGCAAACCGACGCTGATCAACAGGCGGGACCCTCTCTGATCAAAGGGGCCAAGTATCCCGCAAGAATGGAAGCCATCCACCTGCAGCTGGAATGCTATTCCCCAAAAATTCAAGGCCTCTCTCTATGCTCCTCTGGTTTATCTCTTTTTAGCAATGAGCCATGGTGTGACTCCCTTGAGATGACAAAAGGAAATGACTCAGAAGCTGGAATCAAAGGTCACCGTCAACAGCCACTCATGATCACACAGCAAGCAGGTCTGGCACACAAACTCATGCTTTTAGTTCACACGAGCAGATGTGGTGTCATGGATCAGTGACGTGCTTAAGATGGACATGGAAGCCAAGTCAGTAAACTCCAACAGCAGCTGGTGCAGTACATTTCATAGCATTTTGCTCTTATTTGGTCACAATTTCTTGTAAACTAGTTCATGGCACTCATTGTCCATGCATATCCACAAGCCAAAATATAAGAATTTACAGAAATATTAATTTCTATTATTGATCATTGTTTCGAGATCTCCCCCATTAGAGAGACAATCTTTGCAGGTTTATCCTGCAGTTATTGTATCATCGAACTGCAGATGCAGGTGAAAAAAAGAAGTATGTATGGACTATTGCAAACAAGTAGAAGCAGCTACATGTAAACATATCTCAGACTTGTAAAATCAAATGTTCAGTTCTCAACTATAAATAAAAAAAGTGGAGCACTATATACACAACTTCATGCTTGTAAGGTTAGATTCATCACTGCAGAGACAAAAAGAGATACAGATTAATCACATTAGTAAGATATTTCAGAAATCTATTACAAATACATAGATAGGGCAGAGTTGCAAATATGGATAGTTATTTCCTCGGCACTAATTATTCTTCAGAGGTAAATGCACCTGGGATTTCACTTATGCTTCATGTTTTCTGATATATTATATGTCACTATCCTTCCAACTATATTATTCTGAATGCTGTGTTTTTAAATCAAGCGCTGTCTTGGTTAAATCTTTACTAAAATAATGTTGCCAGTTAATATTGCCATAAAACACAAAACCCAGGAGGATTTATTGAAAAACAGAAAAGAAAGGCAAAGAAAAGGTCAGGATACACTGTCCTTCTCGGTATCCCAGAAAGCCAATATAATAATAGATTGACAGGTATATTTGACAAAAATGCCACATCTATGAGCTTTTATAATGAACAGGAAGCAATGATCATCTGCAGAAACCAAAGGATGTGTGAGTCTTCATGTGAAGAAAGAAAAGAAAAGTCTTGGACTTCTCACAAAACTAATGCCAACTATTTCTACAGTACTGCCTCAATGAATTATTCTACATAAATCACAACATATCACATGAACTACTGTCATGGAGAGGTCTGATCTTGCGTTGCTGGATATGAATGTCTAGGGGGCTCTGAAGCGTATCTTGATACAGTATGATTGTGACAGGCATTTCTGTGTTCTAAGGACATCCTGGTCCTGAAAAGAAAAAGCTCTGCCCATCCTACCTTTTGCCAACAGCCAGGCATTGGTAATCCATCAGGACCCTGTTTCAAGGGGAGTAGGAGGATGAAAAAAAAAAAAAAAGAGCATAAGTTAGTTTGACAGGATAGATATTTCATCAACATCTGTTAGAACAGCTGAAGCAGCTTTGACTTTCTATCTAAAAAGTAGCTACCAGTTAGCTTATTTTCTCTCTTACTCTCAAAGTGAGGGAAAAACCAAAGGCAGGAAGGTTTACACTGTAAATACATACATGCACTTCTCTGCCATAAAGATTTGGGTTTTTTTCTAGATCATTAGAACTAGTTTCTTATTGCTACTAGAGCTCAGGTTACATGTTATTTTAAATATAATCTGTTTTATTCACGATAATCTGTATCTGAATGTACAAGATCAGTGACAAAAACAATACTATTACTTTTATCTGGAGAGTATGACGTTTTATGGGCCTCTCGTTCAAAGGCTAACCTGTGATAAGACAGCAAGACTCAAATGGGAGTAGGATCTTTTCACTTTCAATATCAGTTTTTGAATGAAGCAGCGAAATCCTAAGGCCTGAACACACCTTGAGTGACACAGTGGAAGAAAACATCAGCAGTGAGAACAGGGCAGTACAGCACCACTGATTGTTTCAATGCTTGGACAGTATGGCCATCTAATTTCTTCTCATGTTAGTGAGAGTCACTCCTTTTCATGTATCATTCCTACCTTCATGTATCTCCATGCATCCAGTAAGATCAGAGCCAGCTTTTGACCAGAGTCTTATTGGTTTTCATGGATCTAATTCAGATTTACATGGTTTATTCAGAAAGTTACATGCTCAGAATTAGGAGCACATACAATGTAACTAGACTGTGCATAAGCAGAAAAAAAATCAGGCCTTTAGATTTCTTAGAATTTAAAATACACTTAGTGTTAACCTACATATGAAGATAATAGTTAATACAGATTTTTGAATATACTTGCATGTGGTCTGATGTGAATGACTTGCTGCCTAAACAAGAAACAGTGCTGCATGCTAAACAGCTTATTCTAGCAATTATCCACAAACAGAATATTTTTGATCCATCAACGATTGTTAGTGAATCTTCAGATATAAACGATAATACAGAGACAGAGAAACATTTTTAAATTACAAAAGCATGCTTGATTATCCCCAACAAAATATGAGATATGGTTACCATTAATTTGAAGCAAACAACATGGACTATGGAATAATCTTAATGGACTATGTATTTACAATTAAAAAGCAATTGACTTCAAATAGAAGTGCTACAGTCAAAATAAAACCTACTTAAATTCAACATTCATCTCAGAGAACCGTGCTTAACCACCAAACAATATCAGAACATGCAGATCGAATTTTACTGTGAACAATTAAAAAGAAAATCGTCCTTGTATCTTTAGGGAATGTGTATCTACTATTCATTTGGGGTTTCCTCTCTTAAATGGAAAAGAGTTCCAACTTACTTTACCACTAAATAAAAATCATTGTTGCCAGATTGGTACAAGGGAGAGGGTCAAGAAGTAGCATTTTAGTATAGGTGGGAACTTGAATTCATGCTAGCATAGGGTGGGGAGTGTTGTGTGTATTCCAGGAGGGTAAGTTCCAGGGGTAAGACCATTAAATTGAGGACATTAAATAACAAAGACAATGAGGGTTTGGGCTGCAGACCGTTACATTCTTACAAACATCAGGGAAACTTTTTATTTCCAGCTGCATTTGAATACTCTGATGAACAGGCCAGACACCACAAACATTACTTGTGGATAGTCTGGAAGCCAAGCTCCAGCTTGGTTTACTGGAAACCTTGATTTTTAGAAATGGTATTTGCATCCTTCTGTTTGTGACTCTCATTTTGGCCAAATTGTGAAAACATGGCCCTAAGATGGCATGGATTTGGAAGGAAGGCCAGGGTGCAGAGCGGCTACAGGACAGGCCAGGGTGTGGAACTGAGCCAGTGCAGACAGAAGTCACCAGACTTGATTAGAGGTGAACGTTGTGCTGGATTTCTACAACTTGGGTTCAGGGTGAGTGAGGCAATGGGTATTTTGCGAGGAAAGTAACAAACCAATGATTCTCAGGGAAAATGTAGGAAGGACAGAAACTTAAAATTACCAGGTGATGTGGGAGCAAACTGCTGAGAGTTAGGCTTAAGGTGTCAACAAAAACGTGTGTTCTCTCACGGCGGTTATGATCACTTGAAGCAGCTGGTTTGCTCATGCACATGCATGTGTTACGTGAAAAATGTAGTCAGCTCAGAAAAACATTATTTTACATTGAGAATGGCTGACTACAAACAAAGGAACTGCATGCAGGGTTGGTAGGAAAGAGAAATACTGTACCAATTGGCAAGGGGCATCCAGCCCATCCAGGCCAGGCTGGCCTGGCTCCCCTTTTTCCCCCTTAATTCCACGGAATCCCTGTTTGTAAAGATTAACTTGCAATGTTACTGTCAAGGAAATGCCTTCAGTATTGACTTAAATGGAGTGAACAAAAAACAGAGAGGCAAGAGGAACAAGCTGACTGCTTATGATTTAAACCTGTGGGGCACTGATTCTGGCACATTCCAAATTTGGCTCCTTTCCAACGTATTTTGCAGAAAAAAATTTAAAAAACCCCAAAAAACGCACTATCAAAACCTCACAAACTTAGCCCAAAGGTCTTAAGTCTTAACCCCAGTTAGGAGGTTTACAAAGTCTGCTCCAGAATTTGCACTTGAGATGAAGCTGTCTTAACAAAGGGCAACAGGTGACACAGCAGCTGGTGCTTGTTCCTCTCCCCTCGTTTCTTATTCCATCAGTTTACAGCAGGATGACTGATCTTCCAATACACAAGTGAGACGTACCAATGGGCAAGGTGCATCTAATCCAGGAGCACCCTGTTCTCCTTTCTCCCCTTTAGGCCCTTTTTTGCCTTTCTTTCCCTTTTCCCCCTGTGAATACAATGGTTTGGATAAAACAAGTTTCATTCTTTTCAAAAAATATAATAAAGAAAGATTGGGTTTAAAGTTTGGGTTTTTTCTTTTTAAGCCAATGGAGAGCTGAAAGGACACTTACCACTGTGTTCTGGTTTGGATGGTGCATTTTGTGGAAAAATAAATTATATGATCACAAGCAAGAACTGCAATCAGTCTCTATTAGTTTGTGTTGGTATTTCATATCAGTATTATGAACGTTTTGAAACCTAGAACAGGGCTTGAAATAACTGATTTCTTGAGACACAGGCAAATCTGCAAATCCCCCCAATCTGTAGTCCGAAATAAGAGATCTCCTGTTTTGGTAAGTGATAGCACTGAAGGGTACATGCTCACTAAGCTGAACTTGTCAGCTTCCCAGAGGATTTGCCACTAGTCAGAAGTAACTTTGGGAGAGCAGAATCCATCAGCAGAGTCTTTTGATAAAAGACATGTGGCACAGATGCTTCACATGGATGACTGACTCAATTCCATCAGCTTCCAGGGTGTCACATCAAGGGTGAACCTGGCCAGGAGCATCCTTTACTAACTGACCCTCTGCACTCTGGTAAGAGTTTGGAACAAACCCTGTTCTCTGTGGTGTCCATAGAAACCCATGGACATCACTGAGGGCGCACTGCTGTCATTCCAAATACAACACAACCATTTCAAACCCTGTTACAGGAATCAAAACATTCAAACTGCTTGATGGAGAGGTGCTATGACACTTTCAACAATTTCATATTGTCTTGGTATCATAAAGTAACCAGAAGTGATAATCAGATTATTTTTTAAGCATTTCAACATTCAAGTATTCTCTCTGCTTCAGGCAATGTTTCATCTATTTGTTTGATCAAAATTCAGTCCTTTGATTTCACACCGAGTTTTCTTTTTAAAAGCGAAACTTCCAATGCTTCTCATGGAAATTTGTTGATTCCTCTCAACAAAGCTACCTGCAAAGATGACCTCACCTTCAAGCAGTGTAAGAGGTTTAGAAAGTTCATTTTATAATTGATTTCACACCAGTTGATCACAATGGTAAATGAGTTTCAGGTTGCTCTCAATTTCACAAAAATCAAAAAGGGATCACTTAAAAAAAAACCAAACAAATTGGACTAGGATTGTAAAAAATGGGATAGGAAGGATGAGTAAATTGGGATATCACAAAGAAATGGGAAAAATAGTCATAGGAAAATTAGTATAACATTGGAGAACCAGCAAGTGAGGTTGTGGCTATTGGGAGGATTTAATTTGTGAGGAAAAGGGTAAAAAAGACAGAGGAATTGTAAGGAATGAGGGTAGAAGGAGAAGGAAGGAATGCCCCTTTGGAAAGACAGACAGATTTTGGTGAAGCGTATTAAATAGGCATTTAACTTGTTCCACACCAGTACAGAAAGTCTTAATCCATTAACAACAGAGAAAAATAATTTTATACTTTAAAAAATTTTATATAAATAATATTTTAAAAAGGAAGGAAAGCGCATTCGTCATTTCATATAACATCATACTTGACACATTCAAATAAAACAAAATGTTCCATGAACAAAACATACTGCATCCATGTCATGATAGAAGCAAAGCTACTTGTCTATCTTTAATGTGTGCCAAAAGGTCACAGGATAATATTTGGAAAAACAGCAACTCAAACATTACCAGATGATACCAATGATAAGATCCTTACCAAATGATACGATTGTGATGTAAAAAAATCCTCACAAGATAAGAACGATAAATTTACTACATTTCCATCTTAAACCTACAAAGATGACAATGTAGCAGAGTTCATTGCTCTACGCTATTTGTGGTCAATGTAAGACCAATATATTTGCAATGATTGTATGCAAGCACAAAGCATGGACATACTCCAAAAAGGATGCTGAAAATGAGCAGTACAGTGTGGTTTCTGACTCTTTTAAAATTTTTTCAGATTGTCTCTTTAACTTCTTGTTTTACAAGCCAGAAGGTAACTATTCTCAACTTCCAGTTTTGCAGGCATATTTATGATCTTACTGAAACCAATGCAGCAGTCACCTGTGTAGAAAAAAGTCTGAGTTTCCTGGGTACTTTACTACTTTTTCCACAGACTGAGTTCTTTCTTTTTAATCTTTGGTCTTTACTCCTTATCCTGAACTGTAGAAACTCACAGGAGTTCTGGGGATTCTACATGTCATGAGGATAAAAAAACCAACTCCTTTCTGTCCTTCCTCAGTGCCTAGAGAAATAAAAAACTGTGGCACTTCTGCAACACCACTATGGTTGGAACAATCTACAATCCTCACATGCACAGATTTCCATCAATGCAGAGTGTAGGGGAAAAGGATAATGCCTTTTCATCCTCTGCTCAGACACACCATACTGTTTTGTCAAATCCATAACAACAGTCACAACTGTGAATCTGGGACCGGGGCCACTTCCCTCCCTTCCCCACAACACAATCTCTAACTTTGGTTAAAGCTTATTTGTTTCTGAAAGATTTTTTTCCTATTCATACAACTTGAAAATACAAACCTTTTTTTGTGATGAGTGCTCCTGGACTGTAATTTTATATGAATAATTACAGCTGGAACACTTTAAAACATATCTTTACAGCCGTGTTAAGAAGACATAATGCAAATACTGACCTGCTTTCACTGTAGCAGAACTACAGATGGGCTAAAATACAGATCAAAAGTCTAGACCTCGTCTCAAACTTAAGAAGTAAAGATTTATTCCCTGCATGTCTATGAAAAAAGTGCCACTAGTTCTCTTTAGAATGTTCATAATGATATGTACTTTTGCAGTGCAATTTAAGTTTCTTAACTAGAAACTCACTAATCTCAATTTGTGTGATGTCAGACCAATAGCCAATACTTTAGAAAAATATTTATTTAAATATTAATAAAAATCTAAACCCCAAGAAATCATAAGCTAGATGGTCAAGTTGTTTATCTGTTATTACAAAAATGGCTTATCTGTTCAAATGGGTGCTGTTACACCAATTTGGTGATAGATAATTAGTAATTTACATAACGAAAACCTCCAGAACAAAGAAGACTTGTTATAATGAGAACTTGGATTAATTGCATTACTTTGTATCCTTTGAGAGTCAGCTTTCTACTTGGAAAATAAACTATTGATGCAGCTGAAGTAATTTTGGTGAAATAAGTTTGCTTGAATGGTATAAATATTCCCTAGTTTATGGGAAAAATATGCAATGGAAGTGTCTTCCACAGAGGTCTCAGCTGTATCTTCCCTGACTTTTCACTGGGAAAGGCCTTCCTTTGCCTCCTAGGTTTCCTTAAATACTCCGCGAATTTTTAAGGCAGAATTTTTTAAATGGAGATTGCCTCCATTTTAAGGTGAATTTTTAAAATGGAGATTGCCTCCATTTTAATGGAGGTAATCTCCATTTCTGCCCTACAGACTTCCTGTCAATCCTCTTTCTGAAAGTCCACATAACGGGATGTTTTTTGAAACATGTATCAGATTTGCTAACTACTTTATCCCATGCATTCTCCTCAGGAAAGAGGGTTTGCCTTTTCATGAATTTTTAGGGGGATGGAGGACCAGAGTTCCTAGGAGACGTGTCCTGCAGCCCAAAAGAAAAAGTCTCCACAGGCAGCTTAAATCACAACTGAACCCTGAAAAGGGTGTAGCCGTGCCACACACCATTCCCACATAAAATTCCCTCACTCCCTTGCAACTGGAAGTCCATGTTTGACTTATCTAGTCAGTCCCTGGGAATCAAGTCTAATATCCAAAAGCAGCACACTGGACTCTGAAACATTAAAACATTTTTACATCCTGAGTGCTGATCTCATCTGTTCCATTTTCACATTTTATTTGTATAAGCAAACTTTTTACCAGCTTTCCATCTTTTCTTCCAGAAATCTTCTGGAACTCTGGTGGCTGAAATTTGTCTGCCTATCTGCTCTAGCTGTACATGGAAACACAGACTCAAAGTCTGGCTGAAAGGGAGTTCTGGAGGTTGCCTAAGATTCCCATTGTGATCAGGATGATTCCTGACCCTAGGTCAGGTCAGGTCAGATCAGACCAGGTTCTGCAGTGCTCCTCGGGCAGTGGTTCAGACCCCTCTCTGTCCCAGTGCTGTGCTGTCCTCCTTGTGAACAATTGCTCTGAATCTCTCAGGAGCACCTTATGGCCCTGTGTTTCCCCATTTGCCATTATCTAGAAGAGTTTTGCTCTATCCTCTTTTGATCTCCCCTTTCAAGTAGTTTGGCCATCCCATTGTCAGACTAAGCCAGTCCACCTCTTCCACCTTCTGCTACTGGTTGTGTTTGCCCCAGACCCCTGCCAGCTTGGTAACCTTTTTAGGCTCCAACTTCTTCTTGAAGTGTGAGGCTCAAAAGATGATCTGCAGTATTCAAGCAACCTCCCTGGAACTGATTAGAGAGGCATAATTACTTATTTTTATCTTCTGGACACAACTCTTTGAACGTACCCCAGGGTGAGAACACACTGTTAAGCTCACTCCGTTTGGCACCTGCTGTAACTCCCACTTAGCACAAAGAGCATTTTGACCATCACCTCTCTGAGCTGGCAGTTACCAGTTACACCTTCTGACTGACAGCTGCCCTCAAGGAGAAAATCTGTTCACTGGTGGCAGACAGACTTGTACTCTGTGAGCAAGCAAGGGCTCACCATTCATTACTCTGCCAGGTCAAACACTGCCTTTATAATATGCATGGAGCATCTGCTTAAAAAACGGTTGTTCTGCGAAGTCAGTACCTTACCAGCAATCTCTGAGCTCAAAAGAAAGAGCAATATACCAAGGGATAAAAGGGAAGGATGAATGTCATTATATCCTTTTCAATGCATTCTTAGGAAGTGTTTAGCCTAACCAGATTAAGAAATGGAGATGAACTCTAACACTCATGGTGACTTCTTAGCCCTGCTTCTTGTTTAGGACACCATAATGAAAAATTAATCCAGCCTAACCCTGCACATGTCAGCTTGACAAAAACATTGGTCTGAGCTAGAAAAATCATCTGCTGCATGTATGGACTTTTACATCAAGTGGCTTGGTGTGAGTTCTAATTCAGCAATTTTAGCAGCTGGGTTATTGTTGGGTAGAAATGGAAGAGATTTGCTCATGAAGTTTCTCTACACACACAAAGTCCTGCATTGCTTTTTACTAAACAGATTTCCAAGTCACTCTGTCTGGACACTGAAAATGAAGTCAGGCTGTTTCTGTTAACTTCACTGTCTAGTTGCTTTATCAGAATGGTAGAATATATGATTCAATTTAAATCCACAAGTATCATAGAGTCCTTAATTGCAAATAAAACATTACCAAAAATAAAAATTCAAACAGTTCTTGTCGTAGACACTTGGTGGGACAGGCAGCATGTACAGGCATGCCACACCAGGATCAACCATTAGTGTGCAAATACTGCCAGGGAACAGATCTGAGCTCTTCAGTATAAAATCACTACCACAACAACTAATTAAATATTAAATATTTAAATATTTCATTAAATATTGTATTAAATATTTCAGGACTTTCAACAAGTGCAGGATGGATTAGAGAAAACAAGCCTAAAAAAAAGGCTGTGCTTTGGGACATGTTCATATTTCTAGTCCTGTACATACATTTTTGTGGTTTTTCATGATTTTGCTCTAGACTGTTATCTGTGACTTGCCTTTTGGCACACAGTAAAAACAAAGGTAAGTTTTAATGGAACCATTTATAGCGTAAAGACAGCAGAAGTGATTAGCTGAGGAATCAAGCAACAGTTATGAACACTGTGGTCACCTTTTCTCCCTTTTCTCCTATATCACCCTTTTCTCCTCGAGGACCAGGGAAACCCTATAAAAACAAAGCGGACAAAGATAGGTTGACTTTTATTAACATGCAGATTAAGTTCTCAAATACTCCTGGAAAACCTAAAAAGGTGATTTCACTACATGCTCTGTACACATATTATGTCTGGACACATGCACGGACACAAGAGCATGTGAGATGAGTTAACCACAGAGTTTGGTAGAGACATTTTGGCAGCTACAGAAAGAAATCATACCACTCAAACTAGCAATCATCCATGCTACATAGCATATGTGCATTCTTAAAAAGACTCCTCCAAGTTAGGGATTTCAGTGCAGGACTTCAGAAAAGGACTTTCAGTAAGTCTTTTTAGCATGCCAAGGAAAGAGCCTGTGTTTTGAAACATATCCATTACAGGCTATGAAATTATGCTCTTTAATCAAAATAAATTTAGTTAACTAAGTGCTAAGTGACCCCTTGTTCTTCTACAAATGAGTAATCTGAATATTTTCTTAGCAAGCATTTTTTCAGCCTACTGACATGGAAAGGACCAAGTACTTGTATTGCTAAGCACTACTATCTGCTGGTGTCTGTCGATAAGGGCTGTACATTGCACAATCTTTGTCCTCTCTACCACAGAGAAAGAGCAAACACAGCACCCAGAACAATCTCTGCAGGTCCTGCATGCATGCTAAAGGGCAGCAGAGGTGCTGTGCTCCACTAGGGACTCTTGGCAGACTCTTACCTACCCCTGAGGGTGCCCTGGTCACACACATTACTTACATCGAGGCCAGGCTCGCCGTCTTTGCCCTGCCAAAGAACCACAGGAACTGCATTAGCTTCCCTCAGACAAGGACACCGCTGCCCATGCTTAACATTTCCAGGAACTGATAACCTGGCTGCAAAATTTTGCTTGACTGTAAAATTTTGTTTGCAGGCAGATTCCAGGAGCAAGCTAAAAATACAAAAACAGCTAAAAACCTACAAAATTTTATTTTTAGTTTGCAGGAATGGGAAACAGAAATAGGATTTAAAAAAAAATTAACTCACAAAGGTGACCCTCACATAAAAATGCGTGGCAAGCTAATTTAACACTCCATGGAGCCTGAAAACTGTCTCCAGCCACTGACTCCTGATCCAATTAAATGGATCCAATTAAACCCACAGGTCTGTATTCCAGCTTAAATTAATCAAATGGATTAGACTGGAGAGGATATGGAAACACTAAAAGTCTCCTGGAAAGGCTGGTTGTGCCTGGCCAAGCACATTTACATGACTTTCCTTGCGTCAAAGTACAGAACAGACTTGTGTATATGTACACACCTGATCCAGTCATTAGCAGTGTAAACAGGGAAAGTCAACTGATTTTATATTGGGGATATCATTGTCAGGCCAAAGGAAGCTCTCCCTCATATTTTAGAAATGGATAATATAATTAAAATTATTGATTCAAAACAAATAATTTCACCCATGAGTGAGCAACAATGAAATTCTCACATAACTTCTGAGTAGATGGCAGAGAAATGAAAACAAAATGGGTCTCTTAAGCAACAAACAAAACAAAAACATAATGGCAAAGAAACCTTGCAGTATGGAAATCCAAGCAGCAACTGCCATTAAGAAATTCACAGCTTTCCACAGTTCCTCCTGAACTCCTGGCACTCTCACATCGTCCCCAGGCAGCTGATGGCCAAAGGCTGCTGAACTAGGAGCACCTGCATTCTGCATCTCCTCTCTCTTGCTGGTTCACCTCAGGTCTGTTTTTTTATGTGCATGGGTAGAAACCCAAGAGTGTGATACAGAACACTGACCTTGCACTGTCAGGGCTTATTATCAATCTCTGCCTTTTCCACCTAATTCTACTGCTAGGTGAAAATCAGCCATAAAGCACACAAAGTTTAATCAGGGAGGGATGAAAAGTGCAGTGTGTACAAGCTCTGTGCAACTTACAGGCAAGCCATATGGTCCTCTGGGTCCAGGGTCACCTACAGTTCCCTTCTCACCCTAAGAAAAGATTACAGAACAAGCAAACAAAAACATTGGCTATCTTAGAAATTATCTCTACCAAGTGCTTTAGGTTAAAGTTTATGCATTCCTAAGTATTGTGAGTGAAAAATATCCAAGCTCATTTGTTTTTATTAAATGTTTAAAGGAGAAAGAGAAGGTGTGTATTACCATTCTTTCCAGGAAGAATGGCTTTTTAGGCATATGATATCACATTCATTTCTAAATATGTTAGTAACTGAAAATATGTTTCAGCTGAACACGCACTAGTGTCAACTTAAAGCTTAAGACAGCTTAATGTTGCTCTCAGTAAAAATACAAAGTTGTAATGAAAACTGAGGATATACAGCATCAAGCTGTATATACACACAGCAGCTGAGATGCAACACAGTGACAGGCAAAAATAATGCGTCAGTCAAAGCTTGATTTAAGTAGGCAATGCTATTAACAGTGACATAGTGAAGATTATCCTATGCACAGTGCTGTCTTGCTAAATCCTATATTGGATTCTAGATAAGTGATGTAAATACTCTGGTTTATTAAAATCTAAACAACTGTAATAATATGCAAGACAAACAAGTACAGAGATTACTCCAGAAGTCTGATCTTATTCTGCACTGAAATCCATGGAAAAATTACCAGTTTCCAGAGGGGTGCTGCCAAAGTCATTTTGCAATACAGCTTAATACAGGGTAAACTTTTCCAAATGGAATGGAATTCAAGGCAATGAATTTCAGGCTGACAGTAATAATAACCTTTGCTCTCTAATTTTTCTTTATCAAGATTGATATGAAGTTAAGCTTCCCAAGCCAGCCAGGACTAGCCCATGTAACTGCAAGCACAGGTCCCTGTGAGCTTGGTAGGGAGTCAGGGCTGCAAAGAAGGTGTGGAAAGCAGTCTTGTTTCAGACTGTTCTTTCTTCTGAATTAAATCCTTCAGAAAAACATTTCTCTCTGGAGAAAACTAAATGGCTGGAAGTGTTGATGAAATGAAAGAAAAAAATCCTGACCACCTCTAGTTTTCAAAGCTCCTACTCTGGATTTGTCATGCAGGGTGACTTGGATCCCTTCATCACTCCCTTTGCTGAACTCACCCTAACACAGGGCTTCCTGCAGGGCTCTTGGTGTGCACAGGTGCTGTGTTTCATCCTAGCATTTGCTGCACTTATGCTTGTGAGAGAATTCTCTGTACAGCATCCTCTGGGATATTTACTACTTTCTATTAATTCATTAATGACTCTATCATTAAAAGCACAAGACAGAGATGTAGATGTGTACCTAATTAATAGCGGGGATCACTGGCACTGCCAGGTACTTGGCACAGCTCTGAAAATGGACCACTATGTCTAAATTTCATTGACTGAATTATACAAAAAGGCAGGCACCAGAAACAATGCGACCTTAACCTGTGGTTGAATAATCCCAGCAGTAAGGGGTTTTTTGGAGTAACTGACATTTGATCTGTTTTAAATACTTTATATTTTTACTTAGATGGGCACTTGCTTTAGTCTAGAGGTAATGAGATGCACAATGTCAGGTCTTTCTGGATTCTGCTACTCCTCCGCTAATTTCTGAGCACCATTTAGGCTGGATGCCCTGGCAGGACAATAGGAGGTATTGGGAAGTAACAGCTGATTTTCAAAACAATAAATCCCTTGCAACTACAAAGCTTTCTGCTAAAAAGAAACTAATACGCTGACCTATGTAGGTAAGAGCTACAAAACTCTTTGATCAGTACTTGAAATAGATCAAGACTAGTTAAGCAGTTAAGTCCTCTCAAGACAGGCTTGTAACATTGCTAAACATAGGGCAGACATAAAAATACTGAATGTATCAGTCTAGGAAGCAATCACGTCTGTTATGTATGAGTATGTTTGGAGAACTGTCTCAGAATTTTTTGCGTCCAATACAAAGCACATGCTGAAACATGCTTGGAGAATCAGATGAGGTCCTGAATGTTCATGGATTATATGAGATTAATGGACTGTCATGAGCTACTGCCCACAACCACCACAATTTCCTTCAGGGTAGCAGATACTGGCAAACCTCAAGATTTTGTTTTAAATTTTTTTGTGAGACAATCCATCAGAGTCCAAAGAAGAGAAACCATAATTTTTGTTTTTGCCTCCTATTTCACTTCAGTCTCCTGAATCATGAACAAACATGAGTTACAATTTGAATGAATAAAGCTGAATAATCCTTGTGTCCATTAGGATAGATAGGGAGATTTCATAACATTGTAATGGTGAGAAATATTTTAACCAAATTAAAGAGAATGCTAGTAGTTAGCTACTAGTACTAACTGTGTGTAATGATGACAGTGCTGCATAGGCTACTACATCTGAAAGCTAAAATCAAGCTCAAAACCAGGCCTTTGTCATCAATGAAAAAAAAAAATAAAAAAAGAAAATGTTTATTTCCAGCTCTCAGGCTCCTTTAGCTGGTCAAGAAGCTGGATATACATTATGCATGTCATCACCCTTCAGGCATACATGTCCCCTTTCATCAATAGTAGCTGAAGATGTCTGTTTTCCAGTGTTCTCTACTTTCACTCAAGACAGCATGTAAGTGAAAATAATAGGTACATAGATTCAGAGGCCTATTATGACCTACTCCTCCATTTAATAAAGATGGTCTCAGTAAAATCACTTTAAGCACCTGGCAAAATGTAATTCCAAGAGCTGAAAATTAGTAAGAACTAATAGACACTGTCCTCATAAATTATATTAATTCACATTATTAATTACGCTTTCGGTTTCTACCGAAAAATCACATAAAACCAGATTATAGTGTCATGATTTTCTTATTCTACCTTGTCACCATCTAAATAGACTTTGTATAAAGATGATCTGACATTTTCTATTTTAATAGTTAATTGAAAATCAACAACCCACCCTAATTTGCACAACAGTCTGTTCTACCTCAGAGCATCACCTTGAATGCAGCCGTGCAACAATGAATTCATGATTATTCTGTTAAACAGCCCTAATGCCCTCCTGGATTTACACTGACCCAAGGTTTTTCTTATCAATACAGACAAAATGGGACCCTCTCCAGTGACAGTGAACACTGGCCCTATGCACTGTTTTAAATTAAAAAGTAAAGCCTGAAATCTGCAGACAAAAATGTTTCCCTCCTGCTTTCACCTACACAAGTTCAACAGTTGTGAATGCAAGTTGTAACACAGCATTAAAAATACATGATTTGTTATTTAAATAATGAGACATATATCAACACTGTGCACCTGTTACATAACTGTGCTACAAACAACTTCTCCTCCCAAATGATACTGAATAATTAAATGAACAATTACAGCAACAATCCTGCTGGATGCCTGCTTGGGAAAAAAACTTCCATCTGTCTTGTGAACTTCCTCCCATTCATTTCCACAGAAAATGGTGGGTGTGTAGGAATTTTCTGCACACCTTGGTCTCTCTATTTTTGTGAAGTTCTCCTTTTGTGCTCATGCAATTACTGATTTACGTCACAGCAATTCCATCCCCTTTGTAGCTACAGCTTTTCAACAGCTACAGTAGGGCTCATTCCAGATCCAGCTGTATGACTTCTTATGGCCTTGAATACCCTCACAAGAAAAAAACATTAGTAGCTGTCTTCCACAGACAAAAAGAATAGTTTATATTATATTCCATTGTCAAAGACAATGGAATTTCAACTGGTAGTACATATGCATATCCTTCAACATAAAAGGTCATAATGCAAGAATAAAATGTACAGTATTTTTATATACTTCTACATGCGTATCTCATCTAAATTTTTTACTTAAGATTAGATTATGTCCAACTATTTTTTCACAGAGTTGACAGAAGATATATTTTATCCTAACTGAAGAAAGAAAGAAGAATTGAAATCAGTAATTCCCCAGAAAAACAAAAAATACTCAAGTCCTTCAGGCATTTAACTAGCCTGAGTGGTAACTTCAGTCTACTGTACAGTTTAATTTGGACTGTGCTGTATGTCTTGTATTTATCCCTCAATACACAGCTCTGTAAAAGCGAATCTTACCTTTCTCAGATGAAGCTAACTGGACCTCTGCCATGTGGCTGTGTCCTTTTTACAGCTAGTGTGAAGTTGTTTCAGCACAGCTGTTTTGTTAAAGGTCTTTGTTTTGTTGTTTTGTTTGAGGAAGTCAAAGAGACAAAGTTCTGGACTGGTAACTCCTTGGAGGTTTTAGGATATCATCTTCTGGGTTGTTGTAAAAGTTGATGGTTGTATTGTTAAAGGTGACACGGTTTTAGTTAAAGATTTAGAGTTCCTATCCTATTTCCAGTGGAGAAAATTTGCTGTGAATATTTCAAAATTAAATAGCAGGTCTCCTATCTTCTAAACTTAAAAAAAAAAAAGTTTAAATTTTATGGAGGCTGGAGATATTTTTCCTGGATAAAAACATTTACATGAATAGAGGACAGAAACACTCCTTTCTTTTTGCCATTGCATTCTTATATAATCAGATCACACTACCTTCTTTTGTACCAGCTTGTTCTCAATTTGCACAACATAAGGAAACCAATGAAACTCGTGTTCTGTTTGTGGCACTGTGAACTAGAAAGTCCAGTCAATTTCTTACTGATTAGTCATTTCAAAATACCAGCTCCCCTGAAGTTAATGAGTTACAATGTCAACCTCAAACAGATAAATGTGTGTGTAGCTGGAATGCATACACAGTTCTGGGTTGCTCCTCTACAGGTGTGGTACTGCTCTGTTCTGTAACATCTAGGCACAGCATGAGTCCCCATGTGACATTTTTCCACTGTGGCAGTCACTTTGCAGGGAGGAGCACATGGAACACATACTTACTCTCTCTCCTTTGGGACCTGCAGGGCCATGGGGACCAACTGGGCCATCTATGCCCTACAAAAAGGAACAAAGAGGGTAAGAGAGAGGGCTTGTTCTTACAACTCTTTAGTTTTAATTGCTGTCTTGTACACAAGAACTAACATGGAATCAGTCTTCACTTGTTGAAAATTCGGATTTGATTTTGTTGCAACCTATTTGGCTTTCAAAACTCCACCTGTAACTTCTCCTGTTACAAGGCAGAGCATTCTATTGGCATCACTACATCCATGGAAGCAATCATATTTACAACAATCTTAAACTGACTGTAAGAAGATGGAAGGGTCAAAAAAAGGTTTTAAATTATTGTTTTATTTTAAAAATCGATTATTCTTTAAATTGAAATGTCCACCTGTAAGATGGACTTAGCTATTGCAGGGATCAATGAGAATCTTACTTCCAAGATATAACTCTTTCACTGCATAGATTTCTTTATCATTCAAGAAAGCAAAAGATTTAACATCTCTGATGAGCAATATAGCAACATGTGTAGATGAAGCCCAGCACATCTGCATCTCCTTCACTGATTCCATATTAGCACTGAACAGCTATGTTCTCCTATAAGCTAAATCCCTAACCTTACTCAGGAAAACTAGCAACCCAACCAAGGCAGTTGTCCAACCAAAAATCAAAACTAAGCCGCCTTTTCAAGGTTCAGAGCTCCTTCTACAGAGAATTACATTCTCTTTCCCACACATACTGTCCTAAGAACCTGCTTGGAGCCCCCTCCTCTGCAGCATGGAGAATGCCTGCAGCATTTGGCCTTCCTTCCTGTGTGCAGTGAGGAGCTTGGCTGGCAGAGCCCTGGGAAGCACAGGGACTCGGTCACGAAGGGGGACACAGAAAGACAAGGGACTCACCCGGGCTCCTGGCTTTCCGTCTAAGCCAGATGCTCCCTGTGTGGTTAGGTGGAAGCATGGATGATGGGCACGACACGAATGACAAGAACGTGAGATTAGTAAGTGGTGCTGATGAATAAACACAATTCAAACGTACAGTACACGCTGTGACAGGGTTCTGGAGTGGGTATCACATTACTACAGCATGTTAGTTAAAAATTCACATGAAACACCAAGAGCCTGATTCTGTTCTCGCTTCAGTGTAACATCACTGACCCACCCCGGCCCTCACATCAAGTATATTAGAGCAGAATATTGCCAGGCTATAGGAGCGCTACAAACACCAGATGTTAGGGTGTTTTTGAGCCTGAACACACAAATATTTACTTTGTCATTTACTTGCATGCTTTCTGATTTGTAAATAGCAACAATACTGAATAGTATACACAAAGGAAGAAAAATGTGTGTTAACTGCGATAGGAACTATTTAAGTGCAAGAATACTGCATTATGCGGCCAACAAAATCTGGATCCTGACCACAATGGGCTCATTCATTTCCAAGAGCCCGGGAGACAATCACATTTCCTGTTTTCCCGCTGTACTCCCAGGCACGGGCTGCGGTTCGGTGAGCCCGAGCATCCTTGGGGCCGGGGGGACCCCTCGTGGATTCTGTGTGAATCACAGAGCGGCGGCGGGGGACGCGGGGGACACCACCACTCGGGACACCGGGAATAACCTGGGCACACCTCCCTCCTAAAAAAGGGAACCCAGACGAACCCAACTAAAATATCCAGCCAAGTCAATAAAACGAGCCGGTTTTTGGAAAGTCAAGCGCTTGGACTTTGCTCCTGAAAATGACATTTAGAAGTAGCAAGCAGGAGCAAAACAAGGTCTGTGTAAATTTGGAAAACCTAGCAGCATATTTTGTTCTGGAGTCTCTTCTACCTTGTAGCATCTGCTCAGGCCTCCAAAGCTCACTCTCTACAGAGCTGTAACTCTGTCAATGTGAAAATGAGTTTTATTTTTCTCAAAAAAAGTCAAAATTCTCAGCGACGCTGACCTTGTCCACAGGCCCTGCACATAATTCTTGAAAATATTAATCAGAGAGGTTTGTGCCCCTTTGGGTCAGCTAAGTCTTTTTTCTCCGTTTTACTGTTAACAATGTAATCACTGGGAGCAATCCTCATAAAATAACAACAGCAAAGAGGAAAAATGAACTCTTTTTCTGAGAAAAAAATAAAGCTGCCTTTTCACCATGCTTTCAAATACATGAAGTATTTTCTGTTTTATCAACTTAACTTGTAAGACAAAATTCATGCCAAACACTCAGAATGACAATTTTCTAAAGAACAAGGCAAAAATAAGAATTTGGGGGGGAAAAAAACCCAAAAAATGCAACTAAATTTCTTAAATCAATTTTTAGCTTTCCTCAATTAGACCTCTAAATGTGAACTGCAGAAGTGCAATAAGAGGAAGAATAACTGAGGAGATGACGGAAAGGGAAGACTCCTTTTTTAATGGAAACACCATACAACACTTGAATAACAGCATGACTAATGCAATGGGGGTGATGACATCCTTGTGACACTGAACACTCTCAAATGACACACAACAACAACAAAAAAAAACCAACCCTGACAGCACTGGGTTTTACAAGGACATTACTTGGGATGATAGCACAGATTTGGGACAAAACAAAAAAAGACTGATGCTCTGCTCCAACATGGTATATTCTGTGTACGCTATTGAGTAAATCAGAGTTGTTCATGAGGAGTAGAAAGAGATGTTTGTGATTTGCACTGAAATTGAATAGTTGGGGTTTTTTACTTACTGGAAGACCAAGGGGCCCTCTGTCACCCTTTTGACCTGGTTCACCCTTCAATCCTTTAAGACCATTTAACCCTGGTTCACCCTAAATGTAAAAGTATAAATGCCAATTTTTTGGTGCTATAATGGGTGTTTAAGCTGGGATAGAAGAAGCCAGTCTCAGAAGTAGCTGCAAATTCCAGTTTGAAACAAATTCAACCTTCTCAGCTTACTGGCAATTTACATACTGATTTAATAGTTGGCAAAAGTACATGGGAGGTGTCTGCTCAAGATTTACAATTTGTGTAGAAAAAACTACATGAAACTTAGGGGTAACAGATTTTTTTAATATTTTCCTAATAATTATCACTATAGTTAGAGGGTTTGAATTAAGCATGTGTTTCAGGGGGTTTTGGAATTCTTCAAATCCCATAAACCACCCTATGCAGATAATTCAAACTGAAATAAAACGTTCATAAAAGTAAGCCTCAAAACTCTAAGTTTCTAGAGTGGGATCTCCTGAAAAGTACATTTGGAAGGAAGAAATACTTTTCCTTACAGTAAACTGGAATTTGCAGCAAAATCTTACATAAAGATATTTTAAACCTTTAAGCATACATAATAAACAGTAACAAGTTAAAAGAAACAGTATAGGTTACACAACGCCAAGCCATTTGGGAGGTCCACAGTTTCTGAGTTCATACAGAGAAATCGTAACAATGTAAGAAATGGCACTTGTTGTGATTATTAAATTATGCACAGGCTATTACACTAAACATCACTAAGATGACAATACTGGGCTGAGAGCTGCCAATAAATCATTCTCTTGTAATGAAAAACTGCATCAGCATGTGGGCTGCTCAAAGACAGTATTGACCACACCTGCCTCTTTTGGGAAACAGAAATACATGGGTATTTCATCCAGGCTGCTCCCCATGGCCTCATTGCTAGACTTCCCTTTGATGTATTATGTTACCTTATATTATATTCATATTTAAAAAAAAAAAATCTCAGTAGAACTCAGTCTGCTCCTTTAAGTAACTCCAGACATCATCTGCCTGCTTTGCACCCCAAGTAGCCATTTCTTCATTCGTATTCTATTTGACTCGATGTGACTTTCAGAGCAGTAGCACTGGAAACACTGAAGTTTTGGAAACAGACCTGAGAAATCCCACAAAAGCCTGAGTCTCAGGCCAAAAGCCTGAGGTAAAGCAGGGCTGGTGCTAAAATGGAACACACTTGATTTCAAAAAATGATTTATGACTTAGGTTTCTTGAGCCAAGGTAACACAGTCTCACAACGGGTCAAACCTGTGATTTTCTGTCTTGCAGTTTTAAAATCCCAAAATAAACCCCCAAAACTAAACAGAAACACCCTTTCCTCCTCTTCCTTACATTTGAGAAAGGTGTGACCAGTCATGCTAACTGGTCAGGTTAGCATGGCCAGTGATTTAAATGGTCATGCCTGACAAGACCACTGGCCTTAATGAATACAGTGTCATGCTGAATTTTAGCTTAGTGGTGACTGCTGAATTAAAGCACAAATTAAAATATTCCAATTCTGCCAAAATTCACTTCCGCTCCCCTGAGCTGTTCTGATGGGCTAAGAGAGTCCCTAAAGAATAGCTATGCTGTGGAAAATGTTCAAATTGTATTGCAGACCTGTCTGATCATGAATCCAGTTTGGAAAACATGAAAATGCACACATCAGTTCATGATGGTGAACCAGCATAACATGTGAAGGAACTGGTCAGAAAAATACCTGTCACCTAACAAAGGCCATGGAGACTGGAAGAAGCAGGAGATACAACAGAGCATAAATGAAGCTGAGATGAAGCTGAGTTTATTTTACTTCATTTCGTGAGCCTGTAATATGTTTCTGTACTCCAAAGTAATTCCAAGTGCAATGGTAGCTTCCCATAAACAGGAAGCCAAATAATTTAGTGCCACATTCCTAATATTCATACAAAAAAATGGACTCAGCTGATGCTCAGGAGAAATACTACTCAGAAAAAATAGCAGAAAATTAAAAAAGCTTTTAAACTGCTAATATTAAGATCTGCTTTAAGGTTTAAGAATATCAGGAACATTTATTAAATGAGATATGAGAAAACACAGCTCCATGCATTCAAGAGCAAAGCATGACACTTTACAGGCATAAAGAGCTCGTCTATTCAAGACAGATATTAACTTACCTTTGGGCCAGGCAGTCCATGAGGTCCCTGAAAATAAAAGTAACATTTTTAATTATGAAAATACATCACAATTTTTAGGAGTTTTGGCTTTGTAGGGATACAAATTACCCCTGTATTTCTTTACCCTCAGAAGAAATGCAGCTGTCAATAAAGCAACAGTAAACACCTGATTCTGAGGAGGAACCAGACCATTAGCATGTTAACAATAACAGGAATGTGCAATTTATTTCTCCGCCTTCTAAGAATTTTAAGACATGCAAAAAAGATTTCCAAATTAGGTCCCCTCTTCAGTGGCCACATATTCTGATAGCACTTTTAGTAAGCAGGCAATAAAGTGGCAGGAGGGCATAGACCATTTCTAGCCCCTCTGTTCCTCCCAAGCTTACCATGGGGCCTGGAGGACCATGTGGCCCTGGTGGTCCAGGTGGTCCTATCATCTACAGATAAAAAAGAATGGTATTAAATCATGCAGAGCAAAGAACTCCCACAAAAATACCAGAAGTCAGGCTGACCCTTGTTGGCAAGCACTTACAAAAATAGCTATGCAACAGTGAACGCTGACAGCGCATCTAGACAGGGCTTTAGGAATGGGAATTATTTTGATTTGAAAGACAGGGTACCCAAAGTGCAGATCTGCCTGTGCCATATGGCACTGTGCCTGCCTCCAGATTCTTATTCCTAGGGTCTATGATACACTTCAAGACACTATGGGGGAAAAATAATAAATCCCCATAAAACAAACAGTACTGAGAAGGGATACTTGGACTTTTAATATTTTATGGTATGTGCTCTGTATTTTTCTCTTGTACTACTTAATCTACAGAGCTAGAAGGTGATGATGTGTTATTTTATTCCTCCTCGACAATGACGACTGGAAAAGATACTAAATTCAAGCTGGGCTTTGGCATAATTTCAAAACTGCCCTTTGTCTCTCCTTTTATTTCTTTTAGCCCACTTGTACCAAAAATTCTCTGAGGTCATTAAAATAGGTAATCGTGTTGCTTAGCATTCAGTGCACGCATATTCTGCACTGGTTTTCCATGTTCCTAGCAAATCCATGGAAAGAATTTCATGATGACATATCCAGCTTAATATCCCCTCTCTTCCTGGATTTAATCCCAATGGGTTGCTGTCATAACCTGCAGAGTGGCAGCAGGGATGCTAATTCAGGTCTCCAGACTCATGCACTGCTGCAGCAGCTGTCAGTGGCGGCAAGAGCAGCAACAAGAAGCCCTTTGAAACCTAAGAAAGATTCCACAACCTATGAAATCTCCGGAAAACTGTAAGTCTTCCTTCAAGTGAAAGTAAGCAGAACAGGATGAATGAATTAGTGAATTAATTTTTAACAAACTAATCTCCTCACAGAAAGAAACTCAGAGATGAGGCGTGCCTTCTGTGGCCTCTTTGACTTTTCAGAGCTATGGCTTCTGTCACTAACCTCTGCTCTGAGGTCTCTCACCTTACTGTGCTCTGATAATGAAAGTCACCCACACCATGAAGGTACTATGTAGCAATTTGTTTGGGTTTTTTGGGTTTGTTGGTTCGGTTTTTTAATGCCGTTACAATGCTTTTTAAAAAAAATCAGGAGAATGCCTGGTCTCATACAACTAGCTCACTACCCTGGGTCACACATCTGAAGTCAGCCTAGTCTGGTTCTCACTGGACTATCTGAGATTCCCAGAGTATAAGGTGTTCAGAGAGAGATTATGGTTTGTTTAGGTTTTTTCCTTTCCTCCCCATTTATCTTTTGATTCATTACAGAGCCAGGAGGCTTTGACTGAAGTGAGCAGGACTTTTTCATAGTCACAGAATAGAGCAGAACAGGAATTACATATTTAAAATTTCTTAAACTGCATTTAGCTCTATTACCAGAAGTCTGTTTATTCTCAGGAAAGATCAGTCATGAATATCAAGTATTGCTCAGAATCAGAAGCTGGAGTACCACTGCTGGACTCCTGTGTTCATTGCAACGCCACACTAAGACTTACTGAAGGACCTTGGGCACCAGGCAAACCAACGTCTCCTTTTTCGCCTTTCATGCCATTGGCTCCCTAAAAATCATTACAAAACAGCATTTATAAACAGCTTTAATCTTACTAACAAACAATCTAGAAGTTATAATATTTATTGGCAAGTAATTATCATCTAAAAAAAGAATAACACAGCACACATATAAAGGAAATACTTTAAAAAATTCTGGCAGTACTTTAAAAATAATTTTTAACTAATATAAACATATGCTTTTATATTGATAGCTATCAATTGTGGCATGATACTTATGACAATTCCTTAAACTGGCACTCCATTCATGATATTGTACTATGGATACAATTTTGAAATTGTTTCTATTTTTGCTGAGAAATTTAATGTGTTGTATATATACCTATACATACATATATATACACACAAAAAAATAGAAGAATGCATCCCACAAATATTCATGCATTTTTTTCTCCCTCCTCAATCTATGTCACCTGAAATTTCCATTCAAAACATAGCTCCTTTCTCCTTGCCCAAGCTGTCCTATATATTACAAGAGAGTACAACTTAGGTCAGCCTGCCAACTAAGCTCTTTCTTCCTGGCACAGTATTTTTTTTTTCACTGTATGTGGATTCAAAAGACCTGCCAATCTTACACCTCCTCCTAGATTTGCTGTGAACCAATCTCAGAGTTTTCTCCCCAGTGCTTTCTGTCCCATTTGCAATTTATCAGCAAATTGGCAATTCCTGATAATGGAAGAGAGAAAAAAATAGAAGATTTTTTGCTATAATTATTTAATTAACTTTTCATACTCACTGGTAGGCCAGGCAGACCGATTCCTCCCTTTTCTCCAGGCATTCCAGGATCACCTGTGTCTCCCTTTGAGCCCTTAGGACCCTAAAATATGGACTTATTCAGGAAGTCATGTAGAAAACTAGAGACATCAATAGAATTGTAGCTTTGATCCCAACAAGCAGAAGTGATGTGCATTTTATATCTTTGCTAGTAAAATGCAGAAATGCATACACTACTAGATCACCAAGTATGCAGCGGCACTATAATGATACGATATTTATTAATTATTATAAACATAATACTTAGATTATGAAAACTAAGTTACAATTTGGAACCATGGAAATAATCTCTTAAAACAACCTACAGTTTCCCACATGTTCTTCACTATATGATTTAAACAAAATGTACCTGCTCTCCATCAACTCCTGGAGCTCCTGGGGATCCTGGTTCACCCTGCAAGAGATGAGACAGAACTGGATTATCCCAACTGCCTCAGATACTAGAGGAAAGAGCCAGAGAAATTCCCATAATTAACAACAACAAAGCCAGAGAATATTCTGTCAAAAGCATATATTTATTATCTATTTTAAATAAACAGCCCACCTGATTATGACATTACAAAAACTTTGGGCTGTATGAAGGCGAGACAAGTGCATAAAAAAAAAAGAAAAAGAAGACAAAATCCAAGGGGTGAAAGGACCCCATTCCAATGGAAACATTGCCTCCAATCAGAATAAACACAGAATCATGCCTCCTGATTTATGTAAGGTAGAGAGAGACTTCATGTTTTTTTTCCCTATTATAAATCACCCAGTGAAGGAGTTCACATTGACCACATTGTCTTGTGACCAGTTCCTGGGTACCATTCTCCAAGGGAACAAGTTATGGTGAGGGATGGAGTCGATGACATTAGAAACAAACTCCTGTGATGCTGAATTCTGCTTTACATTGTAAATTTTGAATGAGAATGCTCACCTATATAAAGGAACACAACCTCTTCCACACTCCAACCTCTCTGTTTTACTACATACTCCGTGTTGCAGAATTGCTGGATAGATGATAATGCAAAAAGCAATTTCTGCACACTTAACTGTATACTCTATTATCAATTTTCCCATTGAATGAACCTTGTTCCTCACAATTTCTCAAAACAATGTGCATGTGTACTGTGATGTATTTCCATATAAAATACTGGATAAAATGTAAAATTGAAACGTCTAGTATTGTTATTGAAGATGCATATATTTGCTCTTGGAATACCATAGAGACACTGGGAGAAGATGCAGTATCTAGTATTTAAGAAACAGGAGAAACATCTCAACTAGTTTAAAAGCATTTAGGGAGAGTCCACTAACTTCAACACTTCTTTTTTGAGTTTAGGCAAATTTATTATTTAAATTTTATAGAACAGTGCAGCATATGGTACTCATTGTCTCTGTGTGGGCTGCTCACTAACTCTTCTGTACTACTTATAAGCACCAGCCAGGTGGTATTGGCAGGCTTGGCTTTCCAGCCAGGCTCCTGCCTACATGTGTGCACCGTAATTTTTACTGACATTAGACAATACTGCACTTATTTGGGTGGGTGCCCCCGTGATGGAAAAGCTGCATTCCATGGTGGCCAGTGGTCTTGCACACAGTTTTGCCCACCTCACTCCCACTCAGCCAGAAGCGAGGCATGGGAGCCACTGTCTGGTTCTGTGGCTGTTTTGCAAAGTCCTTGGGACAAACCTTAGTGCCAATCCCTGAGTGAGATGCTCCCGCACTCTTTCAGTACTAATTAATTGTGCTGGTCCTTAGTTAAGCATCTGTGTGTGGCAACTAAACGAGGCACCTATTCTGGAAAGCTACATCTCAAGAATCTGGGATATAAAGTTGGAAACATGCTATATTTGTTAGATTTACAGTTAAACAACTGTGCTGGAAAGCTCCATCTACCTGTACATGTACATAATTTAAAAAAACCCAGAAAATACTCCACCCCTAAGATACAATGAGTAAAGTAAGGAAGATCACCTTTGATCCTTGCAGCCCTTGGGGTCCTGGTGGTCCTGGTGGTCCCTAAACAGAAACACACAAACCTCTCAGCTTTTAAATAAACTCCTGAAGAACTTGTCATGTAAGCACAGGGTGAATGTTAAAACAGCTACTGTAACAAAATGGGTTAGATTTTTAACACAAGGGGAACCAAGACTAGTTATGGACAAGTTTTTAACGTATGACAGCTCTCAACAACCACAACACTACAACAAAAAACAGTGTTATAGTAACAGTAAAACTCGTATTTTATAATAAAATCCTCTGCTACTGCTGATGAAATGGCACTGCTTCTCTAATGGAAGGGAGACCAAAACCCAGACATATTTGCCAGCCCTCACTGCCTGATCCAAAACAATCTGAGACCGAGAGAAATCTCCAACCAGTTGCAAAGAGGATTCTGCTGAAAGATGCTAAGTGCATCTGGGGAAACTCAGTGCTTTGTGAAATTGCCATGGAATAAACTGTAACCATTTCTTTCATTTCTACCTCAGGCTGTGGACACAGTGTCATGTATCAAACACTGGTCTGGATGGCGCATAGTGGGGCTGCTTTAAAAAAACCTCACAACAACATCTAAAAATCCCTTGCACTAATACAAAGAAAGGGTGTGGACAGATGGGAAAATACGACTAACAGCAATCTTGCAGAGAAGAATTCAAAGCAAAAAAGAGTGTGCTTTCCCAGTCTCGTACTTAAATGAACTGAAGTTCTGCCATTAATTTAGAAGGAGCAGAATTGGTTCCATTGCTGGCTTTCAACAATGGGTCCTCTTCTATGGGAACACCAAGCAAAGAAGTCAGTACATGTTATGATGAACCAGGCTGACATCCAATGAAGACATGTCCTGAGCTATGAGCATGCTGCAGCACAAAGAAGTTCTACAGTGCACAGTAAGTCATGCAACAGAAATGAATTACCGTGACAGTCAGGGTGGCAATCCTCTGTTGGCAAAAGGTATTAACAAGAGTTGTCAGTAGCAGAATTAAACAATGATATAAATAATTCTGTTTGCTACAGTTATAATCTCCACAGAACCTATGCTGCATGTGGGAGACACCATGCCTTCAAAAACACTAATAAAACCCCTGTTATATTTAACTCTTGGTGTTGTATTAGCTGCTTGGTTTCTGTGGGAATTAGATGAAGGCAGTACTTTTGTACAATGCAAGAGATCAAATAAACAATGGCTAAATAGCAAAATCTAAGCAGAATGCTTCAAAAACGTAAGAAAACACAATGGGTTGGTGTCTGAAGTTGACCAAAAGTCTAGCCTTATGTTCTGCAATGAAGGATTTGCACCCATGTTTAAGTAATACATACAACTCCTGGAGTGGAGCTGTAACATTAATTTTCATATAAAAATGCAGTTCTAAATCCAAAACTGCCAGTCTACAACCCAGCTGTGTATACTACAATTCTACTTTGAATTCTTGGAAAGACAAAGGATATTTTCATCATGGAAGGAGGCAAAATACCTTGACCTGTCACAGGGTTTTTTTTTGCCAAAGAATCTAAAAGCAAGTGGAAAAGTATTAAAATGTAATTTAAATGCTTGTCTATATTTTTAAACAGAGTAAAATCCTCATATATTGCAGTTCACACATGCTTTCCTTTTGCATGAGAAGAACTTACTGGCCCACATGGAACAAGAAATATTTTGCTTTTTTAATTATTATCCAATGTGCAAATAACAGTTTGCAGATCTTCTGTTTTAAGCTGTAAAAGAATCTCCATGTCAGTGCAACAATACATACTGTTGGCAAAGATCTGGAACCTACTCAATACAAAGCACCTGAACAAAACTGTTTCCTAACACATGGATTTAATATACCCATATTCTTTGTATTTCAATGTACTAATGTAAATATATCCATAAAATACTGCAAACTTCAGGTATGAGCATATCTAGGTATGAAAACCTAAAATAACCATTGCAAAGAACTGTTTACATGTTCAGAGTAATGGATCCCTTTACAGAGGTAGATATTTTAATATCTAATGCTGTTGCTCCAACAAAGGTTAAACTTCTGAAACTACTGCTTTGTGCCCTGGGAAATTCTGAAGAGTAGGTGTGAAGAGCAATTTTGACAGAGAGATGAATTTTGTATTTGATCCTCCAAGTGAAAGCCACATACTCTCAGCAGGGGTCTTGCTCAAACCATGATGACAATTTTAAGATTACACATGAGACTGAATAGGAGGCACGAGGCAAAGTAACTAAATTGCTAGACTGCTTCATGATTTATTACTGAATTCTAGCATGAGACAAGCAGTCCATATCTTGCAAATTCTTGTCAACTTCTTAAATCTGCAGGCCAAATTCTGTGCAAGTTCACAGTTCAGTGCTGAGCACTGAAGTTCTCATGCGCTTTTGTGAGAGAACTGCAAATCTCAGAGCCCCTAAGAATTTGGCACCAGGAGACTTAGGAATGGGTGTTTGCCATCTGAAAGGACTGAGCTGGATTTGGCAAGAATATTTTTGACTGATCCTATATAATCTTACTTACACCCTCCTTGCACAGCCATTCCCATTAATATCAATTATTTGTTGCCCTGGATCAGAAGGTGATGACATTTGGAACGATTTGCAGTGGGATAAAGGCTTTCTAGAATGTTTCAACCACTGCATAAGGCTTTAGTCCATTTTTAAGGCTTCTTTATGTGCTGCAGCTTTTCTGAGGAAGCTTGAAACTAACACTGATGCCAGAGTTACAATACAAAGACAGAATACAGGAGATACAGGGGCTAAAGCCCCTGCTAAATCTCTGTCTGGTAATACACAACATGAATTTCAGGCTACTTTAGGCACGTAACTCGGGGAGGAATTTAGATGACTGAAAGTTGTGTGTCTGAAGTCCCTTACAAGCAGACCAAATGAGGCAAACATAATGCAAAGCCTCACAACATGTCTAAGCAGACCTCCCCACAGACACAATGAAAGAACGGACTCAGCCTTAGTGACATACAAGGCTTTTAGATTTTAGTAAAGGCAGTGAGATTTTTTTATTTTTTGAAAGTATCTTGGAAACCAAATGACTGGTCAGACATTTACCCACTCCCACTGCATAAATGTAAGAAAAAAGTTCAGCAGCTTCAGTGAGAAAGTGATCAGATGCACAATGAGCCAAATCCAGTCTTCAGTTTCACATAAGCAAGCCATTCACTTTGGTGGAGTTATACTGCACAGAATTTGCATCTGAGTATGCTGCAATGTAAATCACCTTGACTGCAATGACATATGTCATCTTGGTCCTTTGCTTTTATGCAAACACTCATTCATTCTTTTTTGTAACCCTACTTTAATCCTCCACACTTTTCTGCACACCAGTCAAAATAGGTTTTCCAGAAATGAATAAGTGAGAAGACTGGTGCTTCGTCTACTTAATGTACTCAAGTTGCTGATTGAATCCACAGCTTGCTAATGGAACCATGTTACACGGTTTCCAAATCTCAAATATTCTGCTCTTTGCATTTTACAGGAAGAGGAGGAGGAAAACAAGAAGAAAAAAGAAATGCCAGTATTATAATATATGAATTGAAAAGTAGACACTTCTGTTGAACCTGTGGTTTATTACATTAATTCAGCACTAAACACCAAAGCCAACAATTATTAGATTCATCCTGATTAGATGATGTCAGTACTCTTATGAAACTAATTCACTCAGCTAATTTGTATCAGGGAAACAGTTTTTCTAGCACAGAAAATCTGGTTTCCAAATATAGAAAGCAATACCTGATTAATAAGCTCAACAATTTTGCGCAAAAATTGTTTTTAAGCTCTAGGCAAAAGAGAAATACAGCGCTGTCAAATGACTTTTTCCCAGACCAGACTAAGCCAATTCAGCCTTGTTAGGTTTGCATACCTGCAGAGCTTCATGGATATTGCCATTGTAATCAATTATCTCTGTTGCACCTTGATCACCCTTCTGTCCAGGTGGTCCCTGTAATACATTTTCCATTAGAATTTTGAGACAACTGCTGAAGACTATTTTAGACTCTTAACTACTGACACATGCTTTGACTTGATTGTGGGGTGTTAGACTCTAACTGTACTTGCAATGTACTACTACAAAACACAAAATTTGAAGGAAAACATTTTTTTTAAATAAAGATAAATAAGCAAGTCAGTACAAAGTGACTTGTGCTGCAGTGGGAAAGCAAATACATAAAACCTCTGAGGGAAGACATTTAAGGATGCTCCTACACTCTAGTTCTGTATTGGCAGTGAACAATGCCAGAACATCAGGCTTGTAACATCCTGCCCACAGTGTGGATTGGAGACTGCTTCAAATAGTGGCAAGTGGTGTTAGTCATATTAATGTCCAGTTAGCAACCATGATCCAACAGAGTCACGTGCCCCATTTCACCTGGAGTGTGAATTGTAGAATTACTGCTACAATTTCAGTTCACAAGGGTACAAAACAAAGAGCTGAGATGAGAAGTAGACTTACCCGTGGACCTGCAGATCCTGTGTCACCTCTCTCACCTGTATCACCCTATATAAAAATGATACATGAAAAAAACAGATACGCCATTTGAAGATATATACATGGTTCTTCCCTTTTAAATATGTTTTCTTACAAGAACTGGTTTACAGGGCCTCTCACCCTAAACAGAATGTGAATCTTATTTAATGAAAGGAAAAAGTCCTTCAAAATCTGTGTACTGGTAGAATCAAAAATGATGCACTTGGCTGTGTGTGAATATTAGAGTATTGTACTGGTTTGCAATAAAAAATTGCAAAGAACCAGAAGAATAGGCAGATTACCAATTAAGCAATTTGCGCAACATCCCTATTTTTAATGACACTACTATCAAAAGCTTGAAGAGAATACTAGAGAAATGAAATTACTCAGTCTGAAACCAGCCAAAAACTTCTTCAAATGTGTGTTCCAAAATATATAATCTTTTCTTTCTGTGATCGTGCCCCTACTAACCTTCTGAACTTCCCTGGTCTGAGTCACTGCCTCCCCTATAAACACAACTGTGCTACCAGATTTAGAGTTTCTTGACACCCTTTCTGTGACAGGCTTAAGATCATTACCAGCTTACACACAGCTTTTTATTCCTGTTTATTAGTGATATGCTTCAAATGATGGAGGGAATTTCAAACATGTATGCATTCTATCCCAGCATCCACAATTCATTTCACAATCACTTTCACAGCAAGGTCTTATACTTTAATTTTAATATTACTCAAAATTAATATGTGTAAGAACTGCAAATTTTTCTCCTGTTGACATCTAGAGAACTTTGGTAAAAGTCAGGAGAAGAATGATTATTTCACCACTGGTAACAGAACAGAAAACTTTCTGGTAATAGAAACAAGAAAACTTTCACAGAGCTAATGAAGGCATATGGAGAGCAGGCTGGTGGCAGGTCATAATCAAGGTTGTACCATCTGTCTTTCCCTTCAGTACTGCTTTGGCAGAAGCTAGTGGACGTTGGAACAGTTAGAAAATTAAGTTCCCCACCACTAGATTGACTTGTGTGTGCCAGGTTTTCATGACAGGTATGCAGGTAAAATGAAATTCATATATCCTTTTTTGATAAAAAGGGAATTAAAAGGGATATCTTTATAATTCCGGTGCATGTGGGAGGTGTCCAGGTACTGTAGTCAAATGAGAGGCTGATTTACTTTTCTGCTCTCACCCTGATACTTTAATTCCCTCATCAGTTCCCTTGCCTTCCAACACTTCTTTCTGGTGGGAATGAATGAGGTTAAATGGCACTTGTTTAATCACATCTTTAAGCACTTAAGGCCACTCTTCAAGGACCTTACAAGTACTGCAAACAGTATCACACCAGCCTACATTGTCCTGTCACCCTTATTCTGACAGTAGACCTGTCAACAACCACCTACACAAGTACATTTTCATCCATCATACAACATGAAGGAATCCAGTGGGAATAGTATTTGCACAGCAGATAAAGTAATAGAAAAACATACATTTTATCTCTCCATATATGTGAACCAACTATATCTACAGAAAGAAATGGGTAGACAGACATAATCAAAGTCATCTTTTTAAAGCAGGTAAAACAGCAACACAATCAAAAACTCTCGCCTTTGTAGGAATTCTGACCATCATATCTAAGCCTGCAGTACTTGGAATACCTCTGATTCCTAGCTCACCAGAGTTTGGATCCATAAAATTACTGCAAACCCAGTAACAGCACAGTCAGGAATTGGGTCTGGGCATGTGGGAGGACTAACACACATCAGTTACACAGAGAGAAACCAAGTTGCATGAGGAAAACAGCAGGAGAGTAGAATGGATGTTATAACAGAAAAGGGATTAGAATCACAGTGTTCAAAACCCACGTGACTTGACTAAATTTTTTAGCTAAAACTGAAGGTCAGAAGGTTTCACTTACAAAGAACACTGCAGATTGTTACAGGTTCTTTGAAAGAGAAACGTTACAAATAATTGATCCTAAAAATCATAATGTTAATTAGTCCCCTAAAGACAGTTTTTTTACTACTAACCTTTGACCCTTTGGGGCCTCTAGATCCAGGTTCACCTGTTTTCCCCTGTTTGAAGGAAGATAGGAGAAAAATGGTAGAGAAATGGGAGTGCAGAGAAAAAGAAATTAGTAATCACTAACTACAGTTTGGAACAGCAGAAACACTTTATATTGATATTACCAAGATAATGGATTTTTAATGCATTTATTTTATATAGCACCCAGATCAATATATTCTCTAACACTAGAGTGCAATGGTCACAGATTGCACCCTTCCAAAGGAAAAGCAGTATTGGCATTAGTAAAGATAGGCATCATTCCCACTGGTTTTCAGGAATGAGCTATGTCATTCCATTGCTCCTGAGAAATGACAGCCAATAGATAGAGAAGATAGTTCAATATTCTAACAGAAGGAGATTAAAATAAAGTGTTATCACAACTTCTTTTCCCAACAGTCCAGGTGAATACAAACTAACTGGACAAGGAGCACAAAATTAACCTTATTGTTTTCAAAACCCATCAGGAAAGAAAAACTTGACAGTATCAACACCAGGGGAAATATTAAGACAATGCTAAAAGTAGTTAGACTGATCTCTTTCCTAGAGAGTTAGAAAACAGCATGCAAAATGGATTTTCTCTGCATTCAATTGCTACAGTGGTCAAAGAGTTCAAACTTCAATGCTGAAAGTTAGGGACCTGGAGGTCAGCACTTCAGCTGGAATGAATTAGGCCAATTCCATGACAGTGTATGTAGGTAGTGTCTTTACTTTATAGACCAAATAAAAGTCCATTCAGACTGCAGTTTCACAGCTGTGAACACAAAACTGCCATTGTCTTCTGGACTGAAGTAGAGCATTTGACAGCATTTTCATTTAAAAGTTCACTCACCAAGTTTTGTTCTACTTTTCAGAAGGCAAAGATGTATTCATAGGTGTAAAACTAACAAAACATTTCCAATATAAAAACCAGACTGACCTTTGGTCCAGGGATTCCAGGTTCACCTCGCTCACCCTTCCCAACAGGGCCTGCCTCTCCTTTGTCACCCTATTGCAACAGACACACATATATCACAAAATACTGGGCAGCCTTTAGCACACCACCAACTCAGCAGGACCAAAGAAAACAAGCCAACAGCAGAAACAGTGGTTTAGTCTAGCTGTTTGTTCAGAATCTGCTGGGTAGTATCAAAGTTCTGCTTCCTACACAAAGTTTCAAGTCATTTTCCTAAAAATCCCATGTTTATGAAAATATAGTTTCCTCAATCATGCCTATTTTGCCTCTTGAACAACTAAATCTGCAGATTCTAATGTGAAAAAAGATGAGTTATTAATTAAAGTTATGATGTAACATCTGCCTTCACATTTTCTGAGGGCACCTACATGATTATCTATATATCTATCTCATGGCACTGGTCCATGACTTCTCACATTTTCTCCAGTAGTAGCCTCAGTCTCTGCTACTCGCTGAGTAAAGTTGAATTTGACATCAGATCAAGGGGCTTCACACCACAGCATTGGCCCACTACCCTTACCTTTGTTCCTGGTAGCCCTGGCAACCCAGGTTCTCCTTGTGGACCAATGAAACCTGGTTCACCCTTTAAAAATACAATATGAGACGGTTACTTATTTAGCAGTACACAATTATAATAAATGAACTTAATTTGGGTGGTATTTTCCCCTGTACAGCTTACAGCTCTCCAGCTATGATGCAACAGTTATACAGAAGTACTTTTTGTCATGGTTTACTTTCATCAGCATAAATTCCTGTAGCAAGCCACCACGCAGCAGATGAGATGCAGATGAAGCAGAAGGTGTCAAACATGGGGTTTATGAGGTTAAGGACTGTTAATATGCAACCTGGTCTGTAACATAACACATCAAACTATTATCCAAGCAAGTCTGAAGGCAGGAGGAGAGATCTGAGTGTTCCTAAATTTAAAAAGGGACAGTTCATTTCAGTGATGTGTTTTGAGGTGGTTTCCTACTGCAGCATGTGAATAGATGGGCAGGAATGCTGTGTGGCAAAGCAGTGACAAATGGAGATGACACTGTTGTGATGTGTTGCATCTCCTTTCAAGTCAGAGACTTGCAGTACCATGGTACTTTCCCTCCTCATTCTGACAGTAAAATACTTCAGTTCTCTGTGCCCAGAAAATTTCTTGAGCTGTGAACAGCTGTGAATGAGCCACAGCTCTCCTCATTCCCTCTCTGTTCTGCTCCCTTCCTTCCCATTCAATTGTACAAAGAGGACAGATGAATAGCAAGAATCAAGCAGAGTTGCAGCAGAAGCAGCAATGAGCAGAGTAAGGCCATATTTTATTACCTATCTCCATGCCTGAAGAGACACAATGCAAGATTAATAAGCCATACCCTTTCCTTCACAAACTCCTCTGAATAAGCCTTCCTGCTATTTAATCTTGCATTTTTTCCAGATATATTTGAACCAAGAAGATATACCCACAAGCTATTGAAAATTTTAAAACCAGTTATGTAACCCAATTAATATTTATTTAATTAACCTTTTTTCAATATCCCTGAACTTAGTGACTAAAAATTACCCATCAAATGCCTCTTAAAATAGCTAAAAGACAGATAGATCATAATCCTGTAGTGACACCATTATTGACAATATACAGAGACAGTGCATATGAGCAGCTGAATAATATTTCTCTTCATCTCTTCCCTTCCTTAGAAATACAGGTATGCTGCACATGGAGAGCAAATTAGGAAGTATTCTTGCACATTCATCTGTGCTCTCATCAGCAATCCATCATTAACAGTTCAAAGCCAAAGAAATCATCCCTGTGGTTATATCAAGGATGACAGCAAGCTCCCAGAGACCCCCATTTAGCTTATAAAAAAAATACAAGTAAATAATGAGCTTTCTCACATGAAGTTCCAGCTGGCCATGATTCAAAATATGGTAAAGAAATAAACTGAGACAAACATGTCACAGAGGAGCAAGTGGAGTTTTCTTTTTGCTCTTGTAAGAAAAAAAAACTTAAGAGTTTATAGAAGTCTTTATATTAGCACACACCAGCAAGAGTAACATAAGGTTGTCACTGCAGATGGAAGCACTTTAATTTCAGTAAATGAAGAACAATGCAGCTTCAATCACTTGTTTTAGAATGAGAGGGCACTCAACAGCCCCATGTTGTTTTAATACTGAATTTGCCCAGGCTAATTTTTTGGCCAGCTTATTATGACTTCAGGCAGAAAACATAGGCAGTGACTACATGATTCTTTTCAGTGGTAAGGCTTAGAAATGCCACTCAAAGGTTTATGCAGTTTTTGAGTCAAATTCTTTTCTCTGCTCAGGACTATACCAGTTGCACACTACAAGGAAACTTCTGGCTGAAGTCCAAGAAGGAGACCCACCTTCCCCCAAAATCTCTAAAGAGAGAAGAAAAAGATGCTTTGCAATAGCTAGTGGAATTGATAATGGTATAAGCTGGCAGTTTAATTAGCATAAGTAGAATACAGGTCTTATACGGCACAGAGCTTATAAATGTTTTGAAATGTGGAGTGGAAGAAGTGGTGTGTCAGCAGAGAGCAGGAACTGACTGGGTGAGCTCTGCTGGGAAAGATGCAGCAGTTATGGTGGATGCCAAGCTGAACGTGATCCAGCTGTGTATTCTTATCACACATGAAACAAAACTGCGACTGCAGTAGTTAAAACCTGGCTACATAAAGAAAAACATGCAATTCTCCCTCTACCCAGTGCTAGAGAAGATAAGTAGATTAAAAAACAGATCTGATTTGCCATCTGAACTAAGCTTCTAAGTAAAAAGACAACGTGTTTGAATGGTTTGAAACTAAGCCATGTCTTCTCTAATATTTCAAATCTCTTGAGTGTAAGTACAGCATAAGGCATTAAGCAAAATGTTCATTGGGTATACTTCTGCATCCTGCCATAATATTGATGACTTTGTGCTTTATGCTATCTTTTATGCCACTCAGATAGCAAAAAACCAACCAAACAAAAAAGGAATCTGTCAAAATTGGCACTGCCAGTGATGTGTGAAATGCAAAGAAAACAGTTTCCTCTCAGTAAGCCATGCTGAGGTCCCAGTTATGCAAAAGAAAGGGAAAGACCTTTATGATTAGTCCATGACACAAAAAAAGTTTCCAGAGCTGGACAGGAATGTGGTTAGAAAATTAAGAATTAAAGACTTTAGCTTTTTTTTTTTTTTTTTTTGCAAATATATGACATATTTGATTTAGCTAGCATATAGCAGAGGAAAGCAAGGGTAAAAAGGCTTGCTTGGGAGGGCACTGTGGTTTGACAACATTGCAGCTCTGGTGTTCACTGAAGCACCTCCTGCTCGTAAGTCTCTTTCTTAAAGAAACTCAGAATTTGTTCTAGCTACCATGAAAGGCTGAGAGGACTGCAAGGGATCAGAGTCACCAAGACTTATAATACGTTACCAAACATCTCACTACAACTTCTTACAATAAAATCACGGTTTTATCCAGTTAGAATGTACAGCAATCTTCTTTGCCTGCTAAAGGTGGGACAGGGAATACAAAATCTGTAATACTGTAATCTGAAGTACTGTTTGGCAGCTGTATAGAAAGCCACCAGCAAATGATCACTCTGTCACACATTTTAGTTTTTAGTTTGGTGCAGTTATGAAATCACTGCTTAGAAACCACCACATTGCACAGGATGTCAAAAGGGCATATTTCAGCATTCAAACTTCATCCACTGTTAGACTCGGAGTGATTTGTACTAATCACAACACAGGAAACTTGGTTTAAAAAGAACAAACAAAAAAAAACAAGCTTGTGAATTTCTTCCAGTCTAGAAGTGATGTGTTATGATATTAAGAATAATTTTTAGTGTCTTTATGTGTTAATATTTTAAAAGACTACCCCCATGCATGCTCATTTTCATTCTCGAGTATTTTCTGACTGTGGAAATACTGAATGTGGTCAGATAACAAATTATACACTACCACTCACAAACACTGTTAATGTTCATTTTCACCTCTTATAACAGTCTGAAGCAGAAAAGAGCCCTAAAATGCTGTAAACCTGGTGCAATGTGAGCGCAATCAGAATTTAATATTAAAAAGTCACCTTGTTATTTACTTCAGAGGATAGTCAGATTTTTATGAGGGTTATTATCTAGACATAATTAGAACTGGTTTTCATGATGATCAAAGCTTTCGTGGGCTGAAGCAGAGGCTAGCTTTGATACTAGAGGTTAACCCTAAGAACCACTTTAGTCCACTCTCACTGTCAGCTTTAAGTTTTACAGAACCCATGATGCCTAAAATTTGGACTTTTGCTTAAAAAAGGTACAGCAGTTGAAATAACATTTTCACTGCTGGTTTCTGTTTTACACATCATTAATTTGGCAAATGTTTATTAACAGTGTAGTTCTAATGCCATATTTGGTCAGAATTAGCCTCCATTGCACAGCTGGGACACACATTACCATCATTATTTGAAACTTTGTTTTCACAGACACACCTAGTCCTCTCCCAGTGCCTGAAAAATGCAAAGCTTTATGCTGATGCAAGCAATCAGCAGAGAACAGCAGTTGTTGGGTACACTGTTTTCCCACAGAAGTTTCTTCCTCCTTTAATCACTCTCCTAATGACTATACAACATACTTTCACATCCAGATCAACGAATTCCTAAAAAAGAAACCTGTGCTGCAGGAAGACATCCAAACCACAACTTTCCTATAACAATGAAATAAATTCTCTTCCATTTCTGAAATTATCATCCTATTTGTAAGAGTCATGGTTACCTTACTATATTCCAGCTACATCAGATTATTACAGTGTTTTCTCTGTGCTACAGAAATGTGACTAAACCAACCCTTAGACCCTGAATTTGAAAGGAGAATGTAATTTCAAGCCTTATTCTTATCTAGTGCTATGCACTAGAATTAGCCAGAGAAATTGAAATGTCTAACTCTGACCTTCATTACATTGTTCACTGGCCCTGAAAGACTTTGTTCAGTGTTGGCCCCATTGCCAAGACCATGGGAGTTCTTTGCCTCCTGGGCTAACCAGCAGGTCCTGCCACAAGGCAGGAGATACAAACCTTTTCCTGGCATTCTCTTGGAAATCCAAATGTATCAAGGTCAAGACACCTGTGTGCATACCTCTGAGTTGGCAAACCATGCCAAAGCATCCTAAATTTCTGTAGAGGACTCCAGAAAGGGGGATGCACCCCACCTTTTCCATTAACAGAAAACCTAGCTGTCTGGGCTGGAGGAAAACCACAGCCATGCTTGAACACACAGCCTTGGACATGCTTGGAGATTCCAAACTCCTGTCTGCAAGTCTAGTGGACCTCCAAAATTCCTGTCTAGCATGGGCCAGCATGCAAATTCTTGAACAGTCACAGAATCTGGGAGACCCCAAAGTTCCTTTCTGATGAGGACTGATGTGGAAGGGTCCTCATTTCAACAACATCAAGAGACCAGTGATTGTTTTCAGTGTTACCCTGGCTCACTTATGAGCATATTTAAAACAAAAACAGTACGATGACCTTTCCTTGCCTGACAGTACCAAAAGAATCCTGCAAAGGTGGGGATATATAGAAGAGCTACAAAAAAAGACACAAAACCCAGATT